GCCACATTTGGGAAGCAACCCTATATAGAGAGACATGTACGTGTTTATAGAGAGAGCCCTCTTGAACTATGGCGATCAATGCGTCTTGACTTGCTCTTAAGGGGGGAACCTGTAATCCACATATTGGTACTGTGGTTCTATTATTTATTGGCTAATTTTGAGGGCCTAATCATGAGACCTTGCACTTGATTATGGGCCATGGGTCCAATTGGGTTGATTTGAGAAGATAGTAGTGGATTATGGATCCTAATATAGGTGGAGTGCCCTGACATTTACTTGCAGATAGCTATCCACTTCTAAGTTGTGTTTCTGTGTATTTTAGATTTTTGTGGAACTTCAAAAATATTGTTTTCAACTAAAATTGTGTTACTGTGATTTTTGGATATTTTTTAGAACCTATAAGAGTATTTTTGGTAGTTTTAAAATTGCAACGGTATTTGAGGAAATTCATTTTTAGGAGGGAGCCACGTGGAGGGGACTATGGGCCTAGCCTCCCCACACGTGTGGGCCCCACGAAGATTTTTTTTGTTTTTGAAAAATATTACTTGTTTTAGTTGAAAATATACTTTTTGAAATATTTTTTGAGAGATTTAAGGGGATATAAAATTTGATCATTATTTTATTCTTAATTATCCCTATGTGAGAAAATAGGAAATATGGAATATTCTAGATAATTCTAGAATGTCTTAGAAAATAATATTATGATGAGACAAAATCTAGATTATTCAGAAGTGGATATAGATCAAATATTCAGGGGATAGGGTTCCAAAATATTCACTCTAGATCATGATGGCTGATCTTATAGATAAACGGCCGAATTAATTCTCTCTGCCACCCCACAAATTAACTAAATATTTTGGATACTGCTGAATCCTAACCTAATTGGACTCCCTAGGCCTCCATGAGGCCTATAAATAGGAGGTGGACCTCTCCATTATCTTGACATTAGATCTCACACATCTGTCTCTTCGCTCCATGCCTCTCTCGAGCCTTCTCTCCTATCTCCCTCCAGGTTCTCTCTTTCTTCTCTCTCAAAAAGGTGGCATGCCACCCCTCATAAGAGTTGGGGTGGCACACACCTCTAAGTGGGGTTAGGAAGGGGGGGGGGGGGGGGGGGGGGTTGGGGGGAACGCTCAGCGCTAGTCTTTTAGATTGAGGGGAGGTTCCAATTAGGTCATGCCCCAAGGTTAAAAGGGGTTCTTTGTGAAACTTGATTGTCATCCATGCTCTCAGCCCAATATTTTCAGATAAGGGTGTTCTAGAGGTGCTTCCCTAAGTTCGGATTTGTGGATTCAGCAGTGTCATGAATCAGCAGCGCCATTGATTAGGTGATCGGGTGGCTATGGGTGTGCTAAGCCCTAAGGGGGTAAACCTAGGCAAAAGTTAGAGTCTTCCCTCAGTTATTTAATTTTATTTCTGCTATTCTTGCCTTATTTTATTCGTAAAATTGTTAGTTTGTGTTCAAATTGAATGAAGTTTATTGCAGCAGTAAGTTATTAAGATACTAAAATGTAGTACGCCTATTTTATTGTATATGTGGCACATATAAGTAGAATTTCCAGCAATTAATAACAAGAAAAAAAAAGAATTTTTAATTTACATCCTGGAATTCTATATAGTCACTTCTTTCACTTAGTGCCAGAAATAGAAAATATGTGAACCTATCTTTGAAAGTGATCCCATCTTTGATGATAATTTGATGGGCGAGTTACCCATGGAGAACAACAAGATGAAGGTGAGGAGGATCAAGACGATGATGGTGGTAGTAAACTAGTAATGATGTTGTTTCTCTTGATGTCATGCCAGAATATGGGGTATAATGTGAGGTGCACCCCAAGTGTTTCGTGATATTTCCTACAAGGTTTTTGATAGTGAGTTCAATATAGAAGGTGACCGTCGAATGGTTGATTACATGATTCTGGATGTTGTAGTACAGCTTCAGTCATCATGTTGTTGTGAGTAGAGAACATCTATATCTATCACTGTGTGCGAGCTGAAGGAAATCATGGGGGGTAGTACAACATTAATCTTGAGCCGTTTCATAGTTCACACTAGAGTATTCTCTGATGTGTTCAAGACCAAGTATGTTGTGCTTATGTATTACAAGTATGGGAGTTCCTAATGGGCCCAAAACACGGTTCATCCAATGTCTACAGGGAATGCAGTAACATGGTACACCTTGATCTCAAGTCTCGTTAATGTGGGAGACTGGGTGATGGTATACCTTTGGAAGGAAAGGCATCCAACAGGTAAATATAACAAGTTGAATATCAATAATCGCATGGCAAGAGTGTTCAAGATTTTGAAGATGGGCAGCAATAGTTACCAGGTCGATTTGCCTTCGCTTATGGATACTTTGGATCACTTCAACATTGCTGATGTGCCTGAGTATCATGGGCTAGAGATAAATGAGGATGACGGTTCTAACTCAAGGGCAAGTTCTCCTCAACCTGGGGAGAATGATGATGCGCAAAGTGCATCAAGTGGACAACGTGACGAGTATCTTTCCTGGGAGCAGCAGATTCCTTCTAGTTTTAGGACATATTTGGAGGATGTGTACCCTGGGAGGGCTACCAAGAAGAACATGAAAAGCAAGAATTGTTTGGAATGATTTTGTAGTCAGTTAAGTTATTTTTAATTGCTGGACCAGTAAGGATTTTTTTAGTATTTTATTTGTACTTACTGTCATTTATTTCAAAAGTCACGTAAGTTAGGACATATGGGTCAATTAATTATTTATATGGACAATTATTGTCGTTTGAACATTAAAAAGGATATAAAAGTGATGCATGGGGAGACTGGAGGCTCATTTACGTGACTTATTTTTTCAAAAACAGAGTAACAGCTCAAGACTTATGAACCCTATTTTGGTTGTGGAGAAGAAACCTGAGATTTCTTCGATAGATGCACGTTTTTAGCTTGTTTTCTTGCTAATTTAACTGTTTCCATCAATTTTCCTAGATCAAAAAGCCTTCTAAATTCTTGATTCATATTGTTGCCGTAATTAATATTTCTTTTATCAATAAATTATGAACAGTAAGAGTTTGATCCATAGATAGTAGTAGTTCTTATTTTATATATTTGCATTTTAAGTGGTTTATGTAAGTAGAATTTTTCAATATTAATAAGAAGAAAAAAGAAAATTTTTGAATTGACACACCGTGCTACTCTACATTGCTACCTTTTTGTTGTGAATGCTCATGAGTCAATGGAACCAAAGTTGCAGGGAGCTTGGTTGAGGAGTGGCGATCTCCCATCGGGAACTTGCTGTGGTGATCCTAGGGCCAGGGTCCAAGTGAAGCTTGTTGTCCTCAATCAAGGGATCTCAATCCCCAACCTATAGGGATCTTGATCCCTAAGGAAGGGGGATCGTCACCCACTGAAAGTGGCAGCAGCAATCCTGGTTAGAAGAATCTCGATCCGAGGGGGAGTTACAAATGTTCTCTAATTTGAACCTTGCAGCTTTGCTTGCACGTTAATTTTTGCTTTTTGACTATTTTCAGCTAAAAACTGATAAGCCAACTCGGAATCGCCCAAGTCGGGTTGGGCCCTAGGCATTCTCCAGTCGTGGACGCTCCTAAACCGAGGAGTCACCCTGATTATCTACAACTGGGCAGTTCACTGTAGTAAATCGTCTAGCTCGCTGAGTTCACTGTAGGGACTTGGACGATTCCTGAATTCAGTTCTTATCATGGGCCTACAATCTCACTTTTTTAAAATTCTATGGGACTTTCAAGCAATAGACTTCCCATGTGGAGGTGTATCGATAATCCTAAAAAGGTGGTCATATATTTTCCAATTTTTATCACTCTAAAAAATTCCACATCACTGTAGTAAATCGTCTAGCTCGCTGAGTTCACTGTAGGGACTTGAACAATTCCTGAATTCAGTTCTTGTCACGGGCCTACAATCTCACTTTTCTAAAATTTTATGGGACTTTCAAGCAATAGAATTCCCATGTGGAGGTGTATTGATAATCCTAAAAAGGTGGTTCATACATTTTCCAATTTTTACCACTTAAAAAATTCCACAATATATATATATGTATCAATTTATGAGTACTTATGGGCTCACTAAGGGTATCGCCCTTGATAGAGCAGAATGGCAGACCAAGATTCATGTAGCGGACCGCAAATAGTTAGGAAAAGGTTCTCTCTTGATGATGACGATGATGATGATACATATACAACTTTAAAAAAATAATGTGTGTGTGTGAGGTGCATGTGGGTGTGTGTGCTTGTATATATCTATATATCCATATATCCATAAATTTTTTTTATAAGGGTACTCCCCAAACACTCCCATAGATATTAAATACAATACACATATCAGGTGCTCCCAGGTTCTCCCAAGCAGTCCCAAGGTAGGAAGCTTCAGCCATGAGTAGATCCCAGGAGCCCACTCCCAAAAACTACAAACAGAACTGTACGATGTTCTTGAAAGACATATTTTAAAGCTGTAATTTCTTGGCGTATAAGTGATGGAACTGAATCATACAACGGCATCTATATAAAGAAAATTTACATTTTAGAGCCACAACTACTAGATGCATTACATGCACAAGAGGACAGAAATAAGTTGTAAAACAGGTCCAAGGATATCAAATTTTAATAACTAGACACCCATATCAGTATGTAGGATACATGACCTATTTCGTCACAGTAATGCCAAAAAATTAAACTTTAAAAGTTTTCTGAATTGAAAGTCATTTTCTCTAAATTCTTTTAAAGAATGTCGAATGATTTGTGTTACATGCAAGGTTGTCATGACAAATCAAAGATCCTATTTGTATCCACATTATTGTTCAGCTGTAACTAGTTTTTTTTTGTATTACACTTTTTAAAATGGAAAATGTTAACTTAAAAAAAGAAAACAAAATTGTAACTGCCTAAATGATACAGTTCTCCAATGTTTAAAAAGATGCAGGCCACAAGGAATCATAAGGAATACATCATTTTCTAATATTAAAACAAACACTACAGATAATGCACCACACAAACCTGAGATTGCTGTGTACAATCCTCGTGCACAGCAAATGGCTCACCCTTTGGAATCTTAACAAAAGACCCTTGCCTGGGTGGATTCTTGGAGTAAGAATACAAAGATGGTGATTTTGAGAAACCACCAGCACCACGCAGAAATATAGTGCTCCTACAGAAGTGTAAGATCTAATATGTAAGCTACCGAAGTCATGATTAAGAGAAACATGTTTCCCCAAAAGAGGTATCGCATGATGATTATTTTACCTGTTCATGCAAAGTGCTTCTCCTGACTCCTTATCATAACTTAACGATTCAATCTCAATAATTGCTGCTTTTCCTGAAATAACAAAGGCATACAAAGACTTCAAGAATGGGCTGCAAATTTTTCTAAAATAAATTTAAGTATCCCCAAAACAACTTGCACATTGTCAAAGAAAGTATCGCAATAATTTTCCATTGATCAGATTTTTCAAAAGAAGACATTAATCAAACACACTCATAATCACTAGTGTTTCCTATTTCACAAACCATCCTTTTTTGGGTAAAAGACATAGCATTGCACAATCCAGTTTGTAGCTTGTTATACATGGCATTTATTATACTTGACTCTAGATCATGGGCAGATTACATGGAAGGATCCCTGTTGTCTAACCTTTTTACAAGGTTAAAAGTCTAAATGGAAAACAAAGATCACTTAGGACTTTTTCATCCTGAGTTTTGCAAAAAAGTAGAAGAAAGAGTCAATATCCCATGATAAAAAACTAAGAAGTGTTGGTAAAACATAGAAAGGACAAACTAGAAGAAAAATGAATCTGTCATGGCTTCTTTAAAAAGGAGGTCATGGGAGCAGGCAAAACCAAAAAGATGATGACCTTCAGATGGAGATGCAAACATAGATTCTGTCATGTATCATTTATAGTTCACTGGCACAGAAACCAGATGCCAAGAATGCAAGGGTACTGAGAATTGCATAGAACATCTGGAGTAAAATGGAACAATGGCATTTAACCACTTCAGCTATCTATTTTGCCCTAGTAATCATGGTCATCCAACTAAGCTTATTGATGGCATCCCAAAGGTGATTTACATGAGAGAATTCCTTGGATAAAATCAGAGAAGTCATTTTCCCCTCCCTAAACGACTGCTTGGGGGCTAGATGCCCATTCAACTAGCCTTCTCTTTTAGGCCTCGAGGCGTGTAAACCGTCACATGGGTACTCGATACATCGCCAAATGCACATACGCACAAGAGCTTGTTGATCTTGGACATCTCAGATATTGGAAGATAGGATTATTCCCTTGAAGAAGAATGTTAACATAATCTATTGAGATGGTGACCCTCGTTATCCAACCATGAATAGCCCTAACACTACCCATGGTATGCACATTGTGCAAGTCAGTTTGTATCACACCCTCGATGTCTCCATTAGACCACTACTAGGATCATGTGTTATTTACCTGGTACACGGGATCAAGGTCCCACTGAAGCTTATTGCTTATGCCATTGTGGGTTGGGATGGATGCCTTGATATTAGGTACCCCAGTAGAGGTTATCATGTTGATTTAGGTTCTTGAGATTTAGGAAGCAAGCAAATCTTCAAAATCAATGCAGAAGCCATGTCATATGACATGTCCTTTGCATCCAGGGAGAGCATCCGGTTGACATCGCTTCTATGTGATAGGCAGTTTCCTCTTTTGACCCCTCGGTAAGCTGATAACGATGGTGCCATTTGCATTGCCAGTAGTGATCCACGACCATGCCAGACACATTAACAACTGATATTATATTAGACAATGTTATCATGGAGGGCTCCTTACACTTATACTCTCCCCACTCTCAGTAGGCTACCAGTTCCACGAAAGGTCAAGTCATCATTCCATTAGTTTCTTATCAACAAACAAATGATTTTGGATTCCACTACATTACTTTGAGATGGGAGTGTTATCAAAGGTAGTTCTGTCCCTAGTTTTCAGGATTGGGATCAGGATGGGAATAGGGATCCAATCTGGGATAAGGATCGGCATTGCACGCTCGTGATAAGCAGAAAATCTCTAGCGTGGGGATCGCTATCTATACACCCTGAAATCTAGGGATCTCAATCCCAATATGTGGGGGAGATCATCTGGTTAAAATCAAAGCCTTAAGAGCACTTAACTAAGGTTCCTTAGGTAAGGAGTGCAGTCCGTACAACATTTTGATTAATTAATAAATTTCTACGCTTAAAATTTTATTAAATATTTTAAAACAAATCCATTAATTCTATAATAAGTTATTGGTTTTGCTCTCCTTTTAGTGTAGTTTATATTTTAATCAAGCGAATTTTTTTATTTAAGAAATTGATTATTCATAAAAGTTTTTTTAAAAAAATCAATTCTTTATGTATCATTTTGATTTTTGGATTTCTTGGGGTGTAGTTTATGGCTTTATGTAAAATAGCAACAATCTTGGCAAGCCTTATTCGTTGAATAAAAACATATTAAGATAAGCAATAAGATGGAACACTACATTTTATACATGTAAAAGAAATGTTGCTTGATATTGTTTATTTAACAGCCGTGCCACCTTGTGCAAAATAGCAATTACCTAGCCATGTCAATGACACTAACCTTTCTCTGTTGGAGACTTGCAGTACTAGGAAATCCGTTTCAAAAACTCAGTACATTTGCTTCTGGTTCTCAATCCCATCTTAAAGGAATCTCAATCCCACATTGGTAGGACCTCGCTTAAGTTTAGCTATGAACGCTCTAATGAAATGCTAAAGAATCTGGATCCTGTGTAATTGAGGATATCGATTCTTAATAAGAAGGATCGAGATTCCAAAGTTTAAAAATTGTGGAGAAGCGAGATTCCCTTCCTTGGGGCACATGAGAGAGATTCTAGGAGCAAAATTGGCCCGTGGTTGGTAGATCCCAGTACGTATGGTCCTATCATAAAGAAATGTATAATATTGTTTGCTTTGAACTCTTTTGAAGAACAGGTGATGGAAGAGTATCCCTGTTAAGACTATGTACCATGACTTTGTGTCATGTAGGAGGGTAATTACCGTTATTGTTACTTTCTAATATCCCTGGATGTTAAGGGAATTTGCACATATTCCCTAAAATGCAGGCATCCAATAATGTAATATTGAATCACATAATGAAGACGCACCCCAACCACACATGGTTGGGGATTCACGCCACTTTCTCTTGCTGTTCTTATCTCTCCCTATCTTTCTTCTTGGTGACAAAATATCAAACTTAGATGGTATCACAGTAAGACTTGTCCTTGAACATTCTATGTGATCTTCTAACCAAATAAATGCCCGATACACATAAAACGTTGGGTCAATTAAAGTTTTAATTTTATTTTTTGATCTGATTTTTCATAGGATATAGGTTTTTTTTATTAGGGTTAATCTCTAGAAATTATGCCATGTATGGGATTAGCGTGGGTTTTTGAGTAGGAAGCTAGTTCCTATTTTATGGGGTGATGTGATTCATTGGTGGTTAGGATTTGTTAAAAAGGATATGGGGGAAAAGAGATAACGATGGAGGGAGGACTCCCTACAGATTTTGGGAAGGTATATTCTCTTAGCTCTTTATTATTATTATTTATTTATTTCTTTCTTTCCTATCTTCCCTAAAAATTCTCTACATCAAGTGGTATCAAAGCGAAGAAGATCTAACCATCACAATGCCACCAAAACCTGCTCCTACGATCGATGATCTAATGCCACACATTTTACGGAATGTACAAACGAAGCGATAGAGGGTATCCAAGTAGAGATCAATGTAATGAATTAGAAGTTGCAATGGTCCCCTTCAAGAAGAGGGTGCTTGCAACCATGAAGTTATGATGCCAAATTTTGCTGTAGAGACAAATCGGTCCCACAGCCAACTCGGGGCGCCGATTCGAAACATAACAGAGAAATTTATAGGAAAGACCCACATCTTGTATAGCATCCATGAGATCTTGGTTAAAGTTGATCTCCTTGAGTCTCATGGTAAGCTCCACGTATAGGGTTTTATTGATTGGTAGAGTGCAATTGAAATTTTTTTGAAAGAGCGTAAAGTTAAACTTGTTGCAACCTTGCTTTGTAGGTTTGCCTAGTGGGAATAAGTTCAATAATCCCAACTTCATAATGGACAGGCAAAAATTTCTGATAGGTAAAAGATGAAAAAGAAATTGAAAGATAATCTAATGAATTAGAGGTTACATGGTGATGAAGGGGACAATCCATGAATCAAGTTCGAATCTTCAAGCTTGAAGTTGAACTTCTTCCAACCATGGAAAAATGACCCAAATAAAAATTTGGGTGATTTTAATTTTATTTTTTTAGATTTTAATTTGATTTTTCATTGGATATAGGTGTACTTTTCTTTTTTTATTAGGGTTAATCTTTACAAATTATGTCATGGTTGGGATCGGCTTGCGTTTTTGGGTAGGAAGCTAGTTCCTAATTTATGGGGTGATGTGATTCATAAGTGGTTAGGATTTGTCAAAAGAGGATATGGAGGAAAGGAGATAAGGATGGTGTTTACTTTAGGTGGGGGATTCTAAATTGAGAGGGAGAGTTACGTGGGATTGAAACAAAGAAGGGGAGAGAGAGAAAAGTAGGAGAGCGAGAAGAGTTTTTTTGTTTTTTTTGTTTTTTTAGTTTGTATTTAAAGGGAAGGACGCCCCTCTTTGTGAACTTGGTTATTTTTGAAGACTAAAGAAATTATTGTTTGATCCTATGAATAGACGTTTGGGCTGGACTCCTTTGCAGACCCTGAGAGATATTCTCTCAGCTCCTTATTGTTATTATTGCTATTAGTGTAATGCATGTGCATTGCAAGTGATACTAAATGTTAATGATTGAAATAAATTTTTAATCTTGAAATACCATTTTCAAAAAGGTGTATTCGATTATTGAGAGAGAGAGAGAGAGAGAATTTGACAATGGGCTTCTATTAGATAATAATTGTCTAAATGTCTTAAAATTCAAATACATTTTGACAATATTCCTAAAAGTTATAATCCATTATAGGGAAGTAAAAAGATGTAAACCAAATTAACATAAAGTTATAAGCAATTCCTATTTAGTGTTATTAGATACTATTAAATTTGCATATAATCCCTTTATAAACGGTAAATCTAAAATTTAAACAAAAAAGTAAAAAATTTTTCTTGGTGCACAATAAGAGTTGAACCTTAAAGACAAAAAATTATTATGATTGGTGCGCAATAAAAGGTGAACGGTAAGAATATGTGTTCATAGCATTGTTTTTTTTTTTTTGTTTTTAATTTATGCTTGGATCGTTAGAATTGGAAAAATAAACATAGGAAATATAAACAAGAAAAAAAGAAGAAAAATAGAGAACTTCTATTTTTCTTTTATAATTTTTTAATTATTTTATTTTAACTATAAAATAATTATTTTTCTAATTTAATATAATTTTAATCATATTATTTACGAATAGAATTTGCAATTTTGATTAATTATTTTGTTTTTTCTCCCTTTTCTTTAGCATTGTTATGGTAATTAATATAATTCTCATTAAATATTATTAGATATTATAAACGATAATTCTAAAATTTAACAAACTAGAAAAATGTGCTTGATACAATAAAAGTTAAACCCTGACGGCAAAAATTAATGCCTCTCTAGTAATGTTTTTCGATTTTTTAATTTAGGTTTAGATTTTTGAAATTGAAAAATAAAGATAGAAAATGCATAAAAATAAAGGAAAAGAGAGAAGGAATTCACTTTTTATAATTTTAATTATAACTTATATTACACTTTAATTATAAAATAAATATTTTTTTGATAATATTCTATAATTTCAAATATATTATTTTGAGTAAACATGGATATCTTCCAAGTATTCTGTTATTATAAAATTCCCTCTACATTTAACAATATACGTTCAATAGCTTCATTGTTGCTTTTTCACTATGAAATTAACCCTTTTTCGGATTTTCAAGATCCGAAAATAGCCATGTTCAATATTTAATTCTATTTCAAGTATTTTCGGACCACAAAATCCAAAGATTAGTCACAAAACCTTAAATATGTATTTTTGGATTTTGAAAATCATAAAATTTTTGAAACACAATTTTAAATTTTGGAACTCCAAAAATTTAGTTGAAAACTCCAAAAAACCTTAAAATTAGTCTTTTGGATTTTGAAAATCCAATAGACAAAAAAATGAAACACGACTAAATATTGAACATAGCTAATTTAGATATTGAAAATCCAAAAAATTAGACAAAACTCCAAAAAAAACTTTAATTTGTATTTTTTGACTTTGAAATTCCAAACAATAGTCTAAAAATCCAAAAAACCCTAAATTATTGTTTTCAGATTTTGAAAATCTGAAAATACTTGAAATTCAACTAAATATTTAATATGGCTATTTTTGGATATTGAAAACCTGAAAAATGGGTAATGTGGTCAATCTATGGAAAAACGTTCAAAAAATGGATACAAACATAAAAACGCATAAATACAGCTAGATCTGAACATAAATTATAGAGGATATCTGTGTGTTTTACTCTATCCTTTACCTATACAAATTGTTGTATTTTTGCTCAATTATTTTTTCGCTTTTCTTTTGTATTTTTTGGTTAACAATTTGTATTTTAGGTTAGTAAATATATTATAGAATTGTAAATATGAATATTGAAAATTTAGGAAAATGAGAATACAAAAAATAAAAGAGGCAGGGAAATAGTCATTTTTCTTTCCATCTATATGTAACTTATTCGTAGAAATTATATCTATGGCAATTAATATAATTTCCATTGACAGAGAGGAGAGAGAGACCATGGTACGCATGCATAATAATAGGAAGCATGCTTTAAAAGAGCATATCCATTGAGAGAGAGTAGAGAGATGGAGTTCGTTGAGGAAGAGAACAAAGAATCCATTGAGATGGGGGGAGAGAATAAATAGATAGAGTATGGTAAGTTTATTGAGAGAGATGAGAAAGTTAATTGAGAGAGTGCAGAGAGGGAGAATAAAATCTCCATAAATATAGGAGAGATATAAAGATAATCCGTTGAGAGGTATAAAGATATAAATTGTTCCCCTTGGCCTTGGGGTTTTTTATGACATTTTTGAAGAGATGGTGCATCTAACCAAGAATGTCAGCACTACCTGGAGCCACATTTTCAGAGAAGCTAATTCAAAGGCTGATGTTTTGGCAAAGGAGGGGGCCACTTCCAACTCCGATATGGGGAACTAGCTTTTGTGTGAGCGCCTAATCTTCGCCAAATCCTCTGAATAGCTTTTTCCCCTGTTGTACATTTTGGTCCCTTCAGGGCTTGTATAGAGTGACCCCGTGGGGTCATCATCTTTTCTTTTGGGATTGTATAGAGTGCCCATGTGGGGCCACCATACTTCTTGATTGTCATGTAATCTTTACTAGTTATTAAAAACGAAAAGGACACTTGGTGAGAGAATAAAAGAGCTCCTTCACTTACTTTATTTATAAAATATTTTAATTTTATTTCTTTCTTTCCCATCTATCCTCCATCTTCTCTACATCAATAACTCTTTACCCTCTTTAATCTCAAACTGCAATCTCATTCTTGATTCATCATATTCTTGTCTGAAATATCAAAATCTCTCTTAAAATCCTGATCTCATTCTTACCTTCTTTAACCTCAAACTCTAATCTTATTCTTGATTCCTCATATTCTTGCTCAAAATTTCAATATCTCTTTCTATCTCTCTCAATCTGAAATTGACACCCAAATCTCTAATTCTCTCTCTTCCTAAACCCCAATATCCCTCTTTCTTTTAATCCCATGTCAGCCACCAAATCTCAAAATCTCCCAACCTTTCTTGCCTCACTCTCACCAACATTCCATATAAGAAGAGTTGGGGGTGCGTGGGTGGGTAATCACCTTATGTACTCTTGCTGCAATTTTACAGCCTGTATCTCCAACTCTAGGGCTTTCTCTCACCAAAACCATGAATCTCCAAAAGCTTTCAGATGAAAGATTTGGAGTACCTATGGTACTTTCTTGGGATAGAAATGGACCTTGCCCATGATTAATTTTGATTCTCTCGATATAAATATGCTCTTGATATGCTTGAACTCATTAAAATATTGCACTGCAGATCATCATCCAATCCAGCAACACTCAACAAAAGACAGAGAGAATGAAGGAAAATTTCTTGAAGAACCTGAAATTATTGAAGCATGGCATGCGAACTTCAGTACCTCACCCTCACTAGTCATGACATAGTCTTCGCAGTAAATCGTCCGTGGCAGTTTATGCATGCACCCATGATGTCCACATAGAGGAGTTAAAATGAATAATGTGACAAATGAAAAAGACCATTAATCAAGGCATTACATACCTAAAAAATTGCATATATGATGTGCACGTTGCTTCCATCATTAGCCACTCCAATGCCAATTCGACAGGAGATCTTGATTCATAGAGGTGAATTTCAAGACATTGTGTTTATTAAAGAAGAAATTTGATATCTTGAGGAGCAAGAAGCAAAAGTCCATGGCACGTACAAAGGCTGAACAACTTGGCGGATATTAGTTAGATACGAAATCTGATTGCATCACTTGGTTATAAAGTCCAATGGTCCATCTATTGTGATAATTGGAGTGCTCTTGCGATTGCAACTAATCCTATTTTTTATGATCGCAGTAAGCACATTGACATTGGCAAAGGTTTTGGGTACAAAAAGATCGAAGCAGAGGCAATTTAAATGGATCATATTGGCATTATTAATCAGATCCCAAGCATTTCACAAAAGGGCTCATCAATCAATGGTATCACTTTCCAAAAGACAAATTGTACATCTTCAAGCACAACGTACAATTTGAGAGATGGTGTTAAGACTATGTATCATGCACAAGGGGCATTACCGTATTATTTCATTAAGACTATGTATCATGTACAATTTATGTGTACAAATGCTAACATCCAGCAATGTAACATTTAATCACATAATGTAGAGCCACCCTCAACACAGTGATTGGGGATTCATGCCACCCTCTCTTGCTCTTCTCATCTCTCTCTCTTTCTTCTTGGTGATAAAATGTTTTCTTTTAAGGAAACAGCTGACCTCTTAGTGACAAAATCTCAAAGTTACAATCACAAGGACTACATTCTTGAAATGTATCTCAAGCCTTATAGGACTAAGAGTCAACTAAAGAAAGGGAATTTGGCATTCTTATTTTGGTTATCAATAAAACAGGGTGCCTATTTTAAATTAATCAAACTTTCTGAGCTAGATTAGACTCTGTTTAAATTTTATACATACAATATATAAAAAAAATGCAACATATATCATCTTACATTGACCTCACTCCAAATAAGACAATTGACTTAAGTTATTATATTATATAATATAGATATTATATGCATAGTGCATTGTTTATAGACTTGTACTTAACCTGTTTATGGCTTGATAGGTTCATTTACGGGCTTGTTTTGGGTAAACAAGTCAAGCAAGCCAAGCTTGTGCTGCTGAAGCCAAGCTCAAACCGGTCCTCTACAAATGCAAGCCAAGCTTGAACATGTCCTAGCTTGGCTTGATTCGAGTTGTTGAAACCCCAGATTTCCACCTCGTGTTATTTTCTTCAGCTCTCCTATTTCTTTATTCTTCTCTTAAACCTAGAAAATTAACCACTAAGATTGGGTGTAGAATTAATGGTTATCATCCTTGCCGGAAGTGTCAAATCATCCTTCTCAGAAATGTCACTAAAAGGCTGGATGTGAAAATCCAGCAGAAAGATGTTCAGGTTAATAAAATAAATTCCCTCTCCTTAAGAAGAAAGGTTTGTATGGTTTTTCTCTCTTGAGATTTGTGAGATGCATTTCCCAACAATACAATGATAAAACACAGAAAATCTAATTACTCCGTAACCCCGCTCAAACCATTGTACACTGTAGTGCCACCAAAACCAGAAATGTAAACACATGGGACAGTAGATACCTTTGTCATGCAAGCTTGAAACAGTTGTTTTGTTTTGTACCTGAGTAAAGATCGCAAAGATGTCAGGATCGACTTTTAACAAAGCAAGAAGGCTAGACAACATTTATTGAGCCATGAGAACTATGGTTAGCTTATCTGATACCAACATCTAATTTCTGAAGCATATAATATAAGCAGGCAGCTAGATGTTAAGAAAGTAATAACAAGTATCACAAAGACATTTACATATAATTTATTTAAATCTTGAAACTGAAGGCTTCTAGTGCGAATGTGCTGCTCTCTTTATTATTGTGAGATGCATCTTGCCAACCATATCAAATTTAACCTATAGACCTAGGGACCGTGGCACCTCTAGAAACTTCATGGGTGTTTTTATTTGACCACAATGTTCTCTGACCTTTTTCTTTTCGTTTTTTGATGCTTGTTTTCTTACCTATGTTATTCCTTCTTATATGGATGATCGTCAACGAGACCAACCATTATTCTGGTATTTCAATGAGATTAACTAATCTACTGTTACCAGTTCATATTTATTTATCTTAAATTTTCTGCCACAATATTTTGGTACAAAATAAATCAGTGTACTAATACAAGTTTATGGTACTTAGTCCACCCGTCATGCATGGCAGGTCACTGGTACATAATTAGCATATAAATTGTAAGGTCCAGATCATGTAGAAGCATCCAACTTTTTCCAAATTTCTAAGGTATTAAACAGTTTAGAAGACACCTTTACTCAGACTCAGTTACAACAAGATACATTCCTTGATGGATTGCAGCAAACTATCACATTTATGACAAATGCCTTCAAAATATAATTTCTTTCAAACTTTCCCCATCTAACAGTAATGCTAAATGAAACATTGTGATACACTTATCAGCAGATACATGTGTAAAAGTACATGATCAACAAAGTTATACCTGCTGCCATTGGATATAGAAGTTGCACATCTTCAAGACAGACAAGTCATGGTGAGAACAGCAAACTAACATCAGATAACAGAGTGTTTGATTTACCAATATGGAAACAGTCAAACTCTGATATCATTTCCTACCATAAAGTGCAGAGGAATATAATTATTCAAATTCAAAATCAATTGCTTTCTTTAACAGGTTTCTGCATTGGTTTGAGAACGTAATGAAAGACCTTTTCCTCATCTCTGATATTTCTTTTACATGATAACATTAACGAATAATCGACTAGAAGAATATATGATGCGAACCACATGAACTAATATCTAGGATGACATCAAATGAAATTTCATGAAAGGACTTGAATGTATAAAATGTTTGTACATGTTCAAATGATTGTTGATCATTGTCTTCCCATAACTCAAAAGCATCCAACTCTCATTGCAAAGTTAAAGGTCTTACACAGCAACTTGTAGGAAATGGCTTGTAAATCTCCACGTATTGCTCACCATGCAATAAAAGAGTTGGGTTGAAACTGGTAGAGTTGCCAAGAAATGAGGTAACATTCCATATAAGAATAGGGAATTATCACCGCAATAAAAGTAAAAAAACATCAGCTAAAAAAACAAACAAATAAAATTTCTTTTTTGATAATATAAGCACATGAATAACGCAGTCACTAGGAACAAAGAGTCAAGGCACATATGACTACAGGAGGTTGAGACAAACACAAGTTTATTTCGTAACACATACACAAGACCTGGCACCTGCTGCAGGGATAAAGGAGAAAATAGAACTGCAAAAGTTGGCAACACCTGCAAAAATGAAAATTAGTTAACAAAATAGTGGTACATGGAAACAAAGGTAAAGTTGAAACTCTTTCAAGATATGCTTGAGAAGACAACCTGAAAATGAAATGAATAATTAACAGTAGCATTAAGCATAATTTATCCATATCTAAAATCTACATATAAGTTGTAATTTATCATAAGACCTAGAGAAATGTGCATGTAAGATAATCCACATTCACCAGATATAGTGAACATATTTACTTCCAGATATTTATGGAGCGGACTGCATGTCTGGGGTCGAGAGAAGCAAAAGATGGTCACATTTTATGTTTGCACTGCTAGGCCCCCAGTAAATGGCCGTAATGTATGCTTGAACATGCATAAATACCTGAAGTCATTAAGGAAACTGATCCATTCAACAAAAGACTGCAAGTTATTTTGAACAAGATACAAAAGTTATGATATTATAAGATACTATGTACAATCCATTCACTATATCTTTTTCACTACTTCTATCCATGTCCTTTTGGGCCTTCCCCTTGCCTTTTTAGAGCCTTCTACTTGAACCAAATCGCACCTCCTTACCGGTATTGTATTACGTCTACGCTGCATATGGCCAGCCCACCTAAGTCTACTTTCCCTCATCTTATCGCCTATTGAAGCCACAACTAAGTTAGCTCTATGTATTCATCCTGAATTCTATCTTTTCTTGTCTTGTCGCTCATCCATCTTAACATCCTCATCTGATCAATGCTCATCTTATAGATATGTTGTTTCTTGACTGTTCAAGATTTTTAGCCCATAAAGCATGGTTGATCTTATAGCCATCCTACAGATTTTCCCTTCGGTCTCAATGATATGCGGTGATCACACAAAACTCCAGATGCACATCTCCACTTCCTTGACCCAGCTCTATTTCTCTGAGCAACATTTTATTCAATCTCTCCATTCTCCTGGATTATGAAACAATCTCTTTTAGGTATTTCTTGACCATCAATGTTAACTACTTCCTCATTTCTACTCCTATTATTGCTAAACTTGTATTCCATATATTTTGTCTTAATTTGACTAATTTTAAAACTTTTAGATTCTAGAGCATCCTTCTAACGTTCTAACTTTGTGTTGACGCCACCTCTAGTCTCATCAATCAAAACTGTCATTCGCGAACAACATACACCAGGCTCATCTTGTTGGCGCCACATCATAGTCTTTAAATCATTTCATAAAATCAACAATAGAATATTTGTCGTCTTCTGTTAGCATCATTTATAAATAAAATAACCATTAGAAGAATAAGAAAATAACATGTTTATCAAAATGACAAATGTCACAAACATTAAAAGGATCTTAGCATTGTCTCCAATACAGAGTACAACATACAATGTTATATAGGCTCCCCCCAGTACCTGCAACATCAATTATGATAAAGGCTCTGCCCCAATATTTCTCCTAAATGCCATAGATAACACTCCGCAGCTTGGCAGAACTCCTTGGAGATCCTCTAGCAAAGCCCAACACCTCATCCCCCACATCCGCCTCTAAAAAAAAACAAAAAAAAAAATTCTCCCCCAATAAAAATCCACATATGTAATATTAGGGACGTAGGCCATTCAAACGAAAGAAAGTGGTTAAGTACTTAACTCTGACCAATCACCTTGATATCCTGGCTTTAATAGAGACCAAATCTTACTAAAAAAACCAAGAAGTTTAGGGAAGAAGACCATGCCAATGGGCCGCATGAATGGCTTTGCGTGCCTTTGGAGAAATATGGGTTATTTGGGAGTCATCAAAACACACCCTCCAAAGTAGCAATTCTGCCTCTTTCAGCATGGCTTGTTCATTAAAAATTCAGACAGCTTCCTTTGGACAACTATGGTTGTTTATGGACCAAATTGCCTTGGACTTAGGGATGCCCCCATGCTAGGGTTTTGTGGCCTTTAAAGGCTGTGAGAGCATGTAAATAAGTATTATAGTGGATTATACATTTCAATGGAAGGGTGTGGGTTAGTTGACCAACTTAGGATTAGGCAGTCTATGGCCCTGGTCAGTCCAAAACCCTTACCCCAGATCATATGACACTACCAAAAAAGGATTTCAGAGGGCCATCACTTGTTGAGGTCGGAGAGAAGCACATAAATGGTTTGTAGATCAGGAGAGCTTCGTGTTCTCTTGTGTGCGGATGTAGGTTTGTGAGAGTGAGGGTTAAATCTTCAACAAACTTCCGCACAACATGTACACATGACAATAGCATTACAGGGAAGCAACCCTGAAAAGGGATACGAGTACATGTGAATAGCGAGAGTCCCCTTTGCATTATAGTGATATGTGTGTGTTACTTCTTTTAAGGGGGGAAATCTATAATCCATGTTCTAGGACTGTTTCACTATTTATTGGCCAGCCTTAATGAACCAATCATGAGCTCCTGCATGAGACTGTGGGACATGAGTCTCATTGGGTTGGTTTGAGAAGAAATTTGAGGACCACAGTTACTGGGTCGGGTGGAGTGGAGTGCCTTAAGAGTCACTTATCTTGCCCCATTGGTACCGGTCCACTTCTACATATTTTGTTTTTAGTGCAATAAATGTTTCTGTGAGTTTTAGAAATTTATCTAGAATTTTTAAAATTAATTCAGCTGTAAATCCTCAAAAAAAGGGCATTTCTGAATTTCTGGTTGTGGAGGGGCACATGTGGGGCCTTTGTATTAAGCACCACATGTGCGTCACACCACATGGGTGGGGTATGGGGCCATGGGACCTATACCTCATACTTGAGGTGGCACGCCACCCCTCTTCTTTATTTATTGTTTTTGAAAAAGTGTTGTGGGAGTTATTTTTTAAAAGATATTTGACCATATCTTTTATCTTTTTAAATTCTTACAATCTTGAGAGACCTGGGAGTTCTAGAAGATTGTTTTAGATTGGTCTTATCCTAGTTTGGCTAAAAGTGGATACAGGTGAAAGATTCAAGACATAAGGTTCCTAGAAACCTAAATTATGATGGCTGATTCATGGGATGAATCGCTCAGATTTAATCTCTCACCTTACAAATTTCCTAGAATCTTATTGGTCATGGTGAGTCACAATTTTTGGATAGGCATATCTAGGGCCCTTGAAGCCTATATAAGGAGGGGACCCCCTCCCCCAATTATCTACACATTATTTTCTAGTCTCTCACTCTCTTCTTTCCCTCCCTACGCCCAACTCTGTCTCCTATCCCTCTTGTTCTCCCTTCTCTCTTTAGGTGGCACGCCACCCCCCCATAAGGCACTGAGGGTGACATGCACCACCCTATAAGATTGAGAGATAGGGGGCACATCCAATCCTTGGGTTGCTTAGTGGTGACTTTAATGTGTTGTCTCATTCATAAATTCATTCGCTGCACTCGCAGCACTGCCTCGTTTATTTACTCATTCGTTGAATCCATGAGAAGAACTGCAAGAATAGAGTGACTGCCACATAGCAATAACGAGTCGGGTCGAGTCTGGGTCGGCCCTGATCTAGACACGACTAGACTAGGTTTCACCAAGGACTCGAACGCGGGTCTAGAAATTAAAAAAAAAAAAATATATATTCTTTAGTATATTTTATTATTCTATACCGGAACAGGTTGGGTCGGGTGCCAGACCTAGTCCCGAACCTAACTCGGGTTAGGTACAAGTCATTTGGACCTAGACCCTACCTACCGGGTCCAAAACATGGACCCGGTTCTGACCCAACCTGATTGCCACATGAGGGCATTCTCTTACTTCATACAAAACAACGACCGCACATGCATTTCCCTAAATGAGGTGAATTACACTTGGTCAAACCATGCACAACCAGCCCCATTCATAAAACTCCACAAATTCTTGATGTCCACGACTTGGGAATTGGCTTTTCAAGTAACCCTATCCTTCTGCTTAACCAAAGCCACCTCACATCGTAAACCAATCCTCTTAGACACAAACCCAAGCCCTAAGACTAGTAAACCTTTTAGATTTGAGCTGAACTGGCTAGATGAACCACTATTCGCAACTTTCCTCATGCAAACGTGTCCCCTTTTACTATCCAGGGCTTGGCTGGGTTTCGCCTGACTAAAAAACTGAAGTTGCTCAAAAAAACTGAAGTTGCTCAAAATAATATAGGAAAACTGATAGGCAAATAAGATCTTAGATGTTCAATGAAGACTGGTGTCATAGACGGATCAGTTCCTCTCCCTAGGGAGACGCATAAGTCTCATCAAAGCTACACTTCAACATTCCAATTTCCGAATGTCCTTATTTCAAATGCCTTCTTTGGTCGAGAACATACTGGAAAAGCTAACGCAACACTCTCTGGTCAGAGGCAAAAACTAATTATAAGCTCCATTTAATTGCTTGGAAGAGAGTCTGCAAATCCAGTAAAGATGGACAGTTAGGGTTTAGAGGAATGAAACATGCAAAGAGCTCTCATAGGTAAGTGGTGGCTAGGTAAGTGGTGGCAGCGGTTTGTCAATGAAGAAAACCACCTTTGGCAGGAGGTTATTAAGAGTAGTTTGGCTTAAAGGCATCAGGCTGGTTGCTGAAGTCCTCGCGCAACACATCCAGGGCTTGGAAAAACATTGCTTGAACATAGGATTCATTCAGGAGACATTGTGAATGTGCCTATGCTATGATGAAAAATTAGGTTTTGGAAGGTTATCTGGCTAGGAGATCAAACACAAGCAGATTGGAGGCTGGCTATGTTGAATGTCGCTCTTGACTCCAAGCCTTAGGTCGCCAGTGTTGTGGAACGCAGGGAGAGCAAAATTTGGAATTCAACTTTCAGGAGAGCCTTGAAGGAAGATGAAGTTGCACTTTTTTCTCAACTCCTACTAGAACTAGCGCATCATTTTGTGCTTCTAGAGGAACAAGATAGGGTCTTGTGTCATCCAACCTAATGTGGCCCTTTTTCTGTTTCGTCATTTTGTCAATCTCTTTGCTCTCAGATCCTCAAATCAATAGTAAACTATGGTCCACCCAGGCACCGCGTAAAATCCAACCATTCGATTGAATTGCACAATCTGGAAAAAACCTGATGGGAAACAGTTAGAGCTAGAGGCTTCCATTTAGCCAACTGATGGGTGACATACCTCTACAAAGAAGAGTGCTTGCCATTTGTTCCTTGATTGTGAAGTGGCCACCTTTTTATGGTCCAGCATTCTTCAAGAATTTGATCGGCAACGGGCTTTTTCTAAATCCGTAATCCAGCTCTACCAAGCCTTCCTCCCACCCCCTCAGCCCAAGGTGAGACGTTTCTTGTGGCAAAGCTTGGTCACGGCTACAATGTGATCACTTTGGCGAGAAAGAAGCAAACGAATATTGGAAGGTTCATCCTCCGCAATTCATAGCCTTAGGGACCACATAAAATCAGTGACTATTTTCTGGCACAAAGTAACAAACTTTGCCAGAATATCTCGCTCTCCACCTTCCTTAATAATTGGAATGGAATCCTTCTCATTAGTCCCCAAAGAATACCTATAATCCTTTATTGGACTGCCCCCAACCCTGGTTCACACAAGCTGGGTAATCCAGGCCCTGCTGGTATAAGGCTTTTACTCTGGGAACACGAAGGAGATACCCTTTTTCTTTTTTAGAATTTATAGGCCATGCTGACTTTAACATGGCAGAGTCCAAAGCCCTTCTAGATGGTTTCCAACAAGTCTACTCTAGTGTCTTCCTCTCAATGTAGATCTTAGTGGAAGGGGTCACAGCAATGTCATAGCATGGGCTTCAAGGAGAGCATGATTTCCCTGGCACCTACGTCCAATTTTATACTATATATACTATCTATGCAGGGACATGAGGATCACTTTCTGCCATGTAAAGAGGGAGGCGAACCAGGCAGTTGACAACTTAACTAAGGAGGGGGCTCTAGTGGAGCCTATTTCACAACAGATTACCGAAAAGTCTCCACCCTTTCTTCTGCCTTCTTTTGTCTCTCTCCTACTAATTTCTGTCTATTCTCTGTCCTTTCTCCTTCTTGACTTCTTTCGTTTCTCTCCAAAGTTTTTTGTCCACCATAACAGATGTATGACTCATAATTAACACCATGTGAGCCCCAACCTTTGGAGTATGAGCCCCAACTCGTGGGTAGCCTTTTTGTATAGAAAGCTCCTGATATGTAGGCAGCCAATTTTTAGTTTTCTTATCAACAATTACTTATATAATATGTAACAGTCAAATTATCCTAGAAATAAAAATAAAAAGAAAAGAAAAAGAGCACTTAAGGAAAAAAAATTTCTCCTCCGGGTGCCAACCATATAACTTTGGGAGCTACTGCACCTTTGGACTTGTTCAGCAGTACAATAACCGAGGAAGGTCCAAATATGAATACTTAATCGATCTGATGAATGCTGATCTACTGAAACTCATATATTTTGGACGGCATCATTCTAAATAGTGTAAGAAAGGATTAATATCTTATTTGCCTTTGATATGCTCTTGGAAGACAAGACTTCCGAACTACCCAATAAGTAAAAAGACTTCACTTTTTAATTTTTCCACAAAAAAGAAGATATCATACACATTCAATAATAAGTTCCACATATCGGAGCAAAACAAAATCTCATATAAGCCTCTAACTCTAAATAATCATCCGTACACATAAACACATACACATTCAACATGAAGATTGTGTGAAAGGCTTACAAGCATCAGTTACAATGACATGGACAATCAACTAAAGAGGAGGGCTACTTCAGGAGTATACCATGACGCATGCTTGACCATCTTTATTGTAGACATATTTCAACTCATTGTCATCTGTGGCACTCCTTATGCATGCTCCAACACCAAGGGCATAAAGCACTACATCTCTTTTTTCAGGGAAACAAAGACCAACACGTTGCCCAGGAGTTTGGAGAAACGCAAGAAAGTGTAACAGTCACTTCAAAAGAGTAATGCACCGTATAAATGAGAGAGAGAAAAACGAAATCAGTTAAAATGTGTTACCTCTCTGTGTAGGTATATGTTGTCTGTGATGGATCCCAGTGAGATATACAAAGAAGAACATGAAAAAAAGTCACAAAACAACATAACCAAAATAAAGATCATAATGAGTTACATCAGAACTTTTGGAACTGTTTTGAAGAAGCATTCAGAACAAGGAATCTGCTCATGTAGCTGAAAGATCTAAGCATCAAAGAAAGAAATAGAAAATCTAAATACTGATGAAGATGTCATAAATTTACATGTATCATTCAGAACTACAACATGGGTTCACATCATATGCATATCACTTATACCATGAAACATTGAAAATAGTAGGGACCAAAACTTCCATGTATAAACAAATCATTCTCTAAATTAATCAAGAAAGTACATTCCAAAAGAAAAATAAACCATAACTCATCCAAGGAAAAGAGCAACTTCTACGCCATGGAAAGCGTCATGAATAATCAGTAGAAGTGACCAAAAATATCAGGTCAAATTTAGCCGACTCAACTAAGCCCATCAGCAGTTTTAAATAAGTAAAATTAGGTTTAAACAGTTTTACAAAAACACAGAGTGTAACATTGACTTAGGAATACAAATAACTGAGCTACCAAGCTAAACATTGATTTACCCGAATGCTAATGAGCCAGCTGAGTTTTTCTGTTCTTTAATTGTTTATTTATTTTTGGGAGCTTAGAATCAAGGATATCAGTTCCTGTAGTATTAAACAAAAATTAGGTCAACGAGGGCTCGTCAAGATCATGCAAGAGTGTGTCACATTCATTTGAACCTTCTTCACAGCCCCTTTCATGGGAAGCTTGTGGACTGAAATGGAGTCTCATCTCTTATCTATATTTCTCTTGCAATGTTTTGGGCTCATTTCTTAAAAACATTAGTATTAAATAATACATACATATATATATATATATATATATATATATATTTGTGTACATGCAATCATATGCACATGCACATACTAACGTGCCTATAAGCACGTGCAGATACAAGGTCAGCAATTCGTATGGTATTAATGTAAGAAAGTATAGAATCCAAAACAGATAAAATATGCAAGTTCATTAGATTTTTACTGGCCTTCTCAGATACAATATATATTACATAAATACATATGATTATTGGAAATGGCTTTTGTAGACTTAATGGTGTTTATGTATGTCTCACCAGCTTAGCTCTCCTGAGACTAGAATCAACCAAGCCTTTAGCTTAACAGTGAGATACTAGGTTTCCAGTGAGTGAGATCATTGGTTCGAGCCTCTCTCTGGCAAACCAAAGTGATTTACACAAAGATTAATAATGCTACCACTTCAAGATAGTATTGGGAGCACAACCAGTAAAAATCTTAGGCACTGTATGGATGACCCTCAAATTGCGGTTTTTCTACCATCTAGGGTTTGAGTGGACCATAAAACAGGGCTCCTGATATAACTTTGATTGCAGGTCGTTTGGCATGCAAAATCAGCAATTTTCGTGCCCCTCTTGACACTGTCAAGTGTCAACTAAGCCAAGTAGACAGACCTCACAGCTGTAAAATCAGGGCCCTTAATCCAGGCAGGATCATGGACTCCCACATAACAATTTCTTCAGAACAAAAGCTTCCCCTATTGTGCAGCCAAATGGCTACTAAGCTTGATGTAGGGCATTCCCTTGATGAGGAGATGAGCCACTTAGTGCGCTAGAAGCAAAGTGTTGATTTTTCTACAAAGAATTTTGTATCTGTACTACATATATTAAGTTGCAGTTAAGAGCTGGATATGTGTCACAATAAGAAAAGGGGACATTGTTTGTTGAAAGAATGTTGATAGGTGCAGATACCAGTATCTTACTAAAGGATACTTGAAGCTTTTATAAAGATAATCACATACACTTACTCGTAAAAGTACAGCCATACCTCACCGTTACAAGCACTCCACTTACGGATTTACTTCCATGATTTTCATTCCTTTGGATACAATGAGATTGCTTACATACAACACAACTTGTAGATATGAAAAATTCACATATGAAAAACTCAGCATCATACATTTCTTATACCATTCAAACTCTTATGTATACAAAATTACAATTCAAATGCAACCTTGTTCCTTACAACACATACACAAATGCCTTGTAATAGACACGCGAATAAGATTTGAATAATATGGGTTCAACAAGTACACAACTCAATTAGCTAGTAGAAGAAAGGCAAAGACGAAAACAACAACAAAGTTGCTGATGAATGAATGGTTGTGGAGGTTAGGTCAAACTTCATAGAGAAAGCCCTTTTAATAGACAAAGCAAATAAGATTCTTACAATATAGCTTCTTGTTGTAGAGAGGAGAGCGAAGAAAATAAAAACAAAAATTACAAATGAAAGAAAATTAAAGGTTCTAGAGATTATGCGCTCTCTCAGATCCTGCATGGGAACCCACCCCGAAACACAATGTCTCATCATGAGACCGTGAAAAAACTATTCCATTCTAAGTCTGAATTACATTTATATAGCAGACTTAAAAAACAAGAATCCTTAAATCTAACCCTATCTCAGATTAAACACCCAAGATGCCTCCTCCTTTACCCTTGCTAGTAAAATACAAAATTATAAACCTAAGAAATAAGGTAATCACTTAATTCAATTTTCCCAACTTTCTAACTAATCCCATCACTAGAAGACAAACTTTCTAATTATCTAATCCTAAAAAGGCATTCATTTGTTTGCATCACTTTTACAAGTTGACAACTCAATTAAGGATCTTTTACAGTGCATTTGTGAGAAAGGGAAAAATGGTAAAGGCATGATATAATCATGTTGATATAAGCATAAGTAAAAGCAAAGGAAGAAAATGAGAATCCAAGGAGTAGGAAAATTAACAACCTCAGGGAAGTTGTATGAGATGACTTTCTCTGGATCGATGGAAGCACCCGATACGATCGCCATTCTAAGCCAAACATGAAATCAAACATATAAGAGAGAAGAAAACAGGAAAAAAACATAAAAAATACATGCAAATAAGATTGGGATAACTGTAAAAAACAAGTTCTTAATCCCATAGAATTTATAGTATGAAAGAATCCAATACAGCTAAAATGAAGGAGAATCGTAACCTATTTCATTACAGGAGGCAAACTCAGGAAGGGTAAATGACTGACCTCTCTGGCTCGGTCTTGAACGGATGAGAAGGGAGACCACGGACGCAAACGGTCGAATGGTGGACCACGGCGGCTTCCCTTCCTCCTAGTCTGATGTGACACTTTTCAGATTTCCAAGGAATCCGTTGATAAAATTTGTTAGGGTAGAGGTAGACCGCTTGTTTGTTTCTGGTCCCCTTGGACGCACAATTATTTCTGTCAAGTGTGGGCGTCCGCACCTTTGGGCTCCGCTGACGTGTAGTTGTAGTGTGTGAGCTACGGGAAAGGTTTTTATACTTCTTGTACAGTATAGAAGTTCCATCCTCCCCTACCATCCAACCATCTAATTTTGATCGTGAGAGTCACTGTTTGATCTTAAATCTGACATCTTAAAATATTTTATTTTTAATTTTTTTATACAAATTATATGAATATAAAATTCGACACGTGTCATCTTCTTATTGGGGCGTACTTATAAAAAATATTTAAAATAATTTTTTGATAAAGTATAATAACCAAAATGCCCTTTGAAACTTTCAAGGGTATTTTGGTCATTATATTTTATTACAAATATTTTTTTTATATTTTTCGCTAGTGCGACTTTAATAGATGAATAGATATCCAAAATTTGGTGTCAAAATAATTTATAGAAAAAATTTAAAAATAAAATGGTGTAGAGAAGTGACATTGTGATTGGGGCAATCTTAGCTCTCCATTCAGAATGGACGGTTGGATAACGGGGGAGTATATAAGTTTTATGCAGAGGAAGCATACAAAGCTTACCCCTCTTTGATACCTATAAATTTTAGTTTTATTTTTAATTATAAAAAGAGAAAGGTTTCTATGCTTCTCCTACAACATAGAAGTTCTATCCTTTCACTAGCATCCAATCGTCCAATTTTGATCAAGAGAGTCACTCATCGTTTGATCTTAGATTCGATGTCTCAAAGTATTTTATTTTTATTTTTTTATATAAATTGTATGAATATGAAAATTGGTAAGTGCCATCTTCTCATTGGGGCGCACCTTTAAAAAATATTAAAAATAATTTTTTCAATAAAATATAATGACCAAAATACCCCTTAAATCTTTCAGGGGTAATTTGGTCATTTTATTTGTTAGAAATATTTTTTTAATATTTTTTGCTAATGCGAGTTTAATAGAGAATTGGACGTCCAAAATTTGGCGTCAAAGTAGTCTATAGAAAATAAAAATAAAAAATAAAATAATGTAGAGACGTGACATTGTGATTGAGGCAATCTTAGCCCTCCATTCAGAATGGACAGTTGGATAAGGTGAAGTATATAAGTTTTATGCTGTAGAGGAAGCATAAAAAGCTTGCCTTTATGGAAAAGGGCAAAATTTCTATGCTGGGAAAGGTTTCTATACTTCCTCAACAGCATAGAAGATCTATACTTCCCCTACCATCCAACCGTCCAATTTTGATCAAGAGAGCCACTCACCATTGATCTTAGATCCGACGTCTAAAAGTATTTTATTTTTAGTTTTTTTTATAAAAATTGTATGAATATGAAATTTGGTACGTGATATCTTCTCATTGGGGCGCGTCTATAAACAATATTAAAAATAAATTTGTGATAAAATATAATAACCAAAATACCCCTTGAATATTTCAAGGGTATTTTGGTCATTTTATTTTATTAAAAATATTTTTTTTATAGTTTTTGCTAGTGCGTGTTTAATAGAGATTGGACGTGCAAAATTTGGTGTCAAAATAATTTATAGAAAAAAAAATAAAAAATAAAATAGTGTAGAGACGTGACATTGTGATTGAGGCAATCTTAACCCTCCATTCAGAATGGACGGTTGGATAAAGGGAAGCAAATCTTGTG